GACCCACAGGTTGAGAACCGCTTGCCTAGAAGGTGATGCAGGCCTGCTTCCCTACAAATGTAAACACCATGTGTTCCTTCCTCTTCATTTTTTTTTCGGGGGGTGGGGCTGGTTGGGGGGGAGGGGTCACAGGAGGTTGGCCAGCCCACCCTGCGCTGATCAGGGGCAGAGCTCACCAGGGGGAGGGGCCTCAGGCAGTTGACCAGCTGGCCCCGCCCCCAGTTAAACTCCAAGTCGAGGGGACAATTTGCATATTAGGCTTTTATTATGGATAATAAAAGCCTAATATGCAAATTGACCAAACAGTGGAACAATCAGTGAAACAACCGGTTGCTATGATGTGCACTGACCACCAGGGGGCAGATACTCAGTGCAGGAGTTGCCCCAGCCCACAGGCCCCAGGCCAGCCAAGGCAGGTGCCAGCAGGGACCCCCTGATCACCCTGCCGGTCACCCCACAGATCAGCCCTGATCGCTAGTCAGGGACCCTACCCGTGCACAAATTTTGTGCACCGGGCCTTTAGTATAGAATAGTTTCTTATTTTTTGTTTTTCTGTGGTATCAGTTGTAACTCTTATTTCATTTCTGATTTTATTTATTTGGACTCTTTCTCTTTTTTTGATGAGTCTGTCTAAAGGATTTTCAAATGTGTGTATGTCTTCAAAAAAACCACTTTTAATGTCATTGATCTTTTAAAAAATTATAGCCTCTATTTCAGTGGTTCTCAACCTTCTGGCCCTTTAAATACAGTTCCTCATGTTGTGACCCAACCATAAAATTATTGTCGTTGCTACTTCATAAATGTAATGTTGCTACTGTTATGAATCGTCATGTAAATATCTGATATGCAGGATGGTCTTAGGCGACCCCTGTGAAAGGGTCGTTCGACCGCCAAAGGGGTCACGACCCACAGGTTGAGAACCGCTGCTCTAGACTGTCATGCAGAAAACTCACTCGCATCTTCAGGCATGTGCTCAAAGGTCACCGGCACAAAAACACCTTCTCTGACCTCCTTATGTGGCCTGATCCTGGGCGGGTGGCTCAGTTGGTTGGAGTGTTGTCCCGTACACCAAAAAGGCTGTGGGTTCAATCCCCAGTCTGGGCCCATATGAGAGGCAACTGATCTCTCTCTCTCTCTCTCTCTCTCTCTCTCTCCCCCCCCCTCTCTCTTTCTCTCTTCTTTTCCTCCCTTCCTCTCTAAAAAATTCAATAAACATATCCTTAGGTGAGGAATAAAAAAATTAATAAAGTGACCTGTCTCTTATTCCCTACATCTTCGTATTCATTTCCTCCATATCCATTGCAAAATTATTTGTCTACATTTCTCATTACAATGGAAGCTGTATGAGGTATGGAACATTACCTAACGCATTCTCCATTATAACTCCAGCATCCAAGTGCACAGAGTTGCTCTGTGAATATTTGTTGAATGAATTCAGGTGGGAAAGGAGAGAAGGATGACTGGGGAGATAAGAGGGGATCTGAAGCACAGAGAAAGAACTGGCCATGAGCTGGAGGAGGGACATAGCTTCCTCTGTAAACAGCGGCGAGGAGGAAAGTTTGGATGTATATGTATGACATGTGTCCGTGGGAGCACAGAGGTGTGTGGCAAGGGCAGAAAGTTAAAAGATTTCATGGGTGATGGACTCTTTCTGGTGAGGTCATCTGCTGACAGTTCAGATGGAAGTTTCAGAGGTTGGGTAAAGGATTTGAGGAGAATGGTAGAGATTTAAAACAGTTGCTGAGGGAAATGGGAAAATGAACACACCAACATTTTTTAAAAAATATATATTTTATTGATTTTTTTACAGAGAGGAAGGGAGAGAAATAGAGAGCTAGAAACATCGATGAGAGAGAAACATCGATCAGCCACCTCCTGCACACTCCCCACCGGAGATGTGCCCGCAACCAAGGCACATGCCCCTGACCGGAACCGAACCTGGGACCCCTCAGTCCACAGGCCGACGCTCTATCCACTGAGCCAAACCGGTTACGGCTGCACCAACATTTTGAGACTACCACGTGCCCGGTACCTTGTTGAGTGTTGCGGTTATAGAGATGAGGAGGATGTGACACAGCCTTGGCCTTTCAGGAATTCACAATCCAAAGACGATAGACTTTCTACAAGAACGTTAAAATGCAGGGTGCTCTGTACTGCAATGGATGGAGTGTTGCAAAGACATGATGGGGGTGGAGGTTCAATTCTGAGAGTGGGGGAAAACAGACAGAGGCTGTGGCCTTTGAGGTTGGTCTTGAAGAAAGATAAAGTGTGTACAGGTAGAAGTCAGTCAGTGTGTTTCACAAAGAGAGGAGAGTACTACCTAAAAATATGGCAGTGTTGCCCAGCTGGCGGGCTTCAGTGGTCCACCTATGAACGGCACATGTCCAGGTTGTGGGCTCAGTCCCCAAAAGGGGGTGTGCTGGAGGCAGCCGATCGATGATTCTCTCTCATCATTGATGTCTCTCTCTCTCTCTCTCTCTCTCTCTCTCTCTCTCTCTCTCTCTTCTTCTCTGAAATCAATAAAAAATATATTTAAAAAAATAAAATATGGTGGTATGGAATAGCTAGAATTGAAAGACATTTATGTGGCTGGAGTGAAAAATGATGCTGGAAAAGAGGATTGAGGCTAGGTTGTAAGGATCTTATATGTACCAGAAATTAGAACTTTCTCCCAAAGTTAACAGAAGTCTTTAGTAGAGCAGCAGAATCTCGAGAGCACTCTTTTAGGAGGCTACCTCAGGAGGCAACGTGGGTGATGAGTTGAAGGGAAGAGAAACTGGAGTTGGTGAGGAGGGTAGGAGACAGCTGCAAGAGTCCTGATGAGAGATTATGAGAGCCTGCAACCGGCTACCGGCCAGGGCCTTCCTTCGTTCCTCACCACCCCCTAGTGGTAAGCACACATCATAGCGAGCGATTGAACTTCCGGTCTCCCAGTGGAACTCCTGAGGGGACACTTTGCATATTAGCCTCTTATATATAGAGATTGTCACAAATTATATCTTTATACATTGTGTGTTGATTAAGATAGATCTATAATTATTGTTTTATGCATTTGTCTTTTAAATCCTATAGGAAGAAGAGCTACAAAACCTAAAATACAATACCGACTTTTATATTTTACCTATGTAGTTACCTTTATAAGTAGTCTTCATTTCTTCATAAATTTTAAGCAAAAGTGCCCCTTTACTTAAGCCTGAAGGACTCCCTTTAGCATTTCTTATAGGGCAAGTCTACTAGTAATAAACTCTCTCAGCTTTTGTTTATGTGGGAGTCTCAATTTCTCCTTTATTATTGGACAATTTTGTGAGATATAGAATTCTTGGTTGACAGATTTTTCTTTCTGCACTTAAGTATGTTATCCCACTGACTTCTGACCACCATGACTTCTGATGAAATATTGGCATTTTTCTTATTGAAAAATCCCTTGTACAAGTTACTTCTCTTTTGCTGCTTTCCAGGTTTTCTGTTTAGTTTTGGGTTCTGACAGTTTGTTTATAATGTGTCAGTGTGGGTCTCCTGAATTTATCCTACTTGGAGTTTATACTATTTGAAGTTTGTTGAGCTTGTAATGTGCCTTTACTCTTTTTTATTGATTCAGAGAGGAAGGGAGAGGAAGAGAGAGAGAAGAACATCAATGATGAGAGAGAATCATCAATTGGCTGTTGTGTCCTTTGATGCACAGAAGTTTTAAATTTTGATGTAGTGCAATTTATCTAGTTTAGCCTTTTGTTGCCTGTGTTGTTGGTGTCATATCCAAGAAATCATTGCCAAATCCAATGTCATAAAGGTTTCCCCCTACGTTTTCTTCTAAAAGTTTGATAGTTTCAGCTCTTACATTTAGTTCTTCCATGAATTTTGAAATACCTTTTGTATATGTTGTAAAGGTAAAGGTTTAACTTCGTCCTTTTGTACATGGATATCCAGTTTTCCCAACACCATTTGTTGAATAAGACTATTTGTCCCCGCACAGAATGGCCTTGCCAAGTGTCATCTGACCACATATGAGAGGATTCTGTACGATAAACGTGTGGAGGTGGTGGTGCAGATATGGCCTGGTCTCTGCCGTAAGGAAGCCTGAGTTGAATACTCAGATTCTGTTGCAACAGTGTTTGTCCGGTGCTGGTTTTGTGCTCGGCGAACACTGGCTCATGTTCCCCACACTGTGTCTCAGCTTCCCACCCAACCACGGAGGAATGCACTAGCAGAAAGACCCTCTTTAACAGGATAAACTCAGTCCCCACAAGAGCCTGGTCATGGTTTATGTAGCGGCCGAACAGAGCCAGGGTTTGCATACAGGGTCCTGCTCCCGGCGTCCCGTTATTTCACGTCGGACGGACCTCGGCAGGCAGAACTCTGAAATGTGGGCAGAACGGAAATGCGATGGTGTCTTTTGCAGCCTGTAGGACCCTCTGCATTAAGGAGTCCCTAAAAGCCAGGGCCGACCTGACATGGAGACGGTCAACATAATCAGGCTGCAGGGAAGGGACCTGGCCCGCCTGCAAGCCCAGAGCCCCGGCTGGCCGCACCCCAGGCGGACCCCGTCCTCACCCCGAGCCTGGGCGCGGCTGGGCTGTGCTACTGTGCGGGGGGGGGCGGCCGAGCCACCGGAAAACGCGGGGCGACCAGACCCGCGGTGCGGCGCCCTCCCGGCCCCCGCGGGGGAGCGTTTGCAGTTCTCGCAATGTCTCCGGGACTAGCACCTGGCTCTCTCCCGCCGCTCACCGGCCGCGGGGTCACTTCCTCCCCTCCGCCCCTCCGCCGGCGTTCCTCTTGGTACAGCCCTACCCGGATTGGAGGCCAGGCGGCTGCCGGTGGGCTCTGCGCATGCGAATCCCCGCCGCGGGGGACTGGGGGGGCGCGGAGCCCGCCCTTCCACTGCTCCACGCGTGACGTCGCGGGGGGCGCGGGCCTCCGCCGGCTCGGAGCGGTGAGAGCGGGCGGCGGGCGCCCCGGCGCTGCTGGACCCGGCAGGGATGCGCGTGTAGAGTTCCTGCAGGGGCGCTGGGGAAGGGGAGGCCGGGGCAGCAGCGGCCCCGACCCGCAGGCTCTGCCCCCTCTCCTCCTGCTTCCCCCCCTTTGCCAACCAGCCGGGAGGGGAGGCCGGGCCGGGGCTGAGCGTGGTGACACCTGCACTGCTGGCGCGCTGCTCCCCTCCGCCCCTTTCCAGATGTTCCTTGGCCTCAGGCTGTCGCTTCCCGCCTGGGAACGAGCACTCCGCTTGGAAGCGGGGCCGGGCTTCAGACCGTGGCCCCGCCACTCCTGTGTTCAAGTCCGCAAGCCTCCGTTTCCGCCTTGCCGCACCTTTCCTGAAGATAAATATGGCACAGAAAAAAATAGAAAAGAAATGGACATTTGTTGAGCTCCTGCGTGGCCACGTATTATGCAAACCGCTTCTATCTGCCACGTTCAGTCCTGGTTCCGTGGGTTAGCACTCCCATTGCACATATGCTAACCTCCCAGAGTTGGACTGAGTTTTCTCACGTGTCCATGGAAGGGCAGGGGAGGATTCAAGCGGAGCGGTTTGACCTCAAAGTGGGTTTCTTTTCGTCAGACGCTTCCTTTGGGCTATTGGCTGTTCTGCAGCCAAACCCTAGGCCCAGAACAGCTGTTTCCTGAATTTCTACTTTTAAGAATGCTCCTTTTCGGGTTCCCTTTTCCAGCACAGTATGCTCCCCACTTCCGCCTTGATTGCTTCAGAAATTAAATGCAGCAAACATTCGCTGCGTGGTGCAGGGCGGTGAGCGCTTGGAGTCAAGAGCCTTGGATTCTTGTCCTGGCTCTGCCACTTGTCCGTGGTGGTGGGCGCGGCCCTGGTCTCCTGGGTGCTTCAGCTTCCCTTTGAGGAACATGGGTAAGTGCCTTCTGCCTGGCAGGCTCTTGCCCAGTTCTCCCTTCCTGTCCTCCAGCAGGTTTTCCGTGGAGGCCCAGACCCCTCTGCTCCCCATGGGCAGCTGTCAGGCAGGGCACAACCTGCATCTCTGTCTGGCCCACCACCCACCTCTGGTCTGTGCCACTTTGATCCTGCTGCTGCTTGGCCTCTCTGGCCTGGGCCTTGGTGGCTTCCTTCTCACTCACAGGACTGGCCTGCGCAGCCCTGACATCCCTCAGGTGAGTACCCTCCTGCTCATCTGCCCCGTGGAGGCCTGCTCCTGCTGCTGCTCTCTCACCTCTCTCCCACCTTCCTTTTGCACACAGGACTGGGTCTCCTTCTTGAGATCTTTCGGCCAGCTGACCCTGTGCCCCACGACTGCGACAGTCACAGAGACGTGGCACGGGTCCCACGTGGTGGGCTTGCTGACCACCTTGAACTTCGGAGATGGTCCAGGCAGGAACAAGACCCAGACATTTCAAGCCACGGTGCGGGGTAGTCAGATGGGATTGAAAGGTGAGATGGAGGACTGTGGGGGTTGGACATCAGAACACTCAGGGGTGGGGCCTGCCCCTCAACTCACCAACCTGGTGACCTTAGGCACATCCCTTAGTCACTCCTACTGTAATGAGGACTAGATACTTACAGTGAAAACGATGCCGCTGGGTAGGTTCTCTATACAGGTGTTTTCTCTCTCCCCTTCTAGCTCTGGGGTTCTTTGATCTATTC